GTGCTCGCCATGTCCGTCCGTCTGTCTGTCTGTCTGTCCGTCCGTGACCTCAAGTCTTCGTCGACGAGAAAATGCGCTCTCTGTCACTCACTGCAGTGAGTACTGAGTTATATATTTTTATTGGTCTAACTGTGGCAGGATGACACTCATAAGGGCGAAAATAGCATCGATATTTGGCCAAAGTCTCTTAATTTTACTGAGTGAACAGCTCTGAGCTCGCTTGGAAGCGATCACATGCAGCCCACAGGGGACGCCAGTGCTCGGAATGTAGTCAAGTTACAGGACAGCTTGAGTTTTATAAATAAAATAAATTTATTTTGTTGGTGAAGTTTACATGATTATGATTTTATTGTGACTTTATTTTCTGTAATATCTGTGTTACAAGATTTAATTGTAATTCTAATTGGTTAATGGGACAACCGTTTATCAAATTGATTTGAACTTTTCAAGTGCCATTAATTTTTAGATGTTTAGTGTGTAATGGTTCATAAATAATATTCATTACACAATTCATTATGTGTAAAATAATTCAATAATAAAATCCATGAAATTTTATGAATTTAAATTTACAGGATATTATTTAGAAGGCTGTTGATAAATCTCTAATAGAACTTTCCGAGTCGTTGAGAAGCAAACAACGTTACCAGCAACACAGCGAAGATTAGGTGCTACCGCACAACCTTAAGAAATTCTACGGACTTTACGCCGAGTGTTTCAATATCCCACTGTTATGGATCGTAATAGGACTTCAAAGTTGTTATTTTACTTTTAAATCACGACTGATGAAATCTCGTGTATGAACGGTTTTTATTAGTCCGTTATTCCACCAAGAAGATACGCGTTACTTTGTCATTATTTATTTGTGTTTTTTATTTATATATTAATGTAATTTATTATATATTTATTAAATTATTTATTATTTTACATATATTTATGTTAATTATGAACATGTAACTTGAACTTGTGAACTTGTTTCTATATTTATCATGAATTTATTCTACATATTTTTCCTTTTAAAGTGATTCATTTCGAATTCTGCTTATTAGTTAATTATCATTTGTTGTAAATTCGTGTTTATCTGCTCATTACAGAAAGGCTCGGAAGTTAAGACAAAAGCTAAGGGCTCTGCTGATATTGTTGTATGTATCGTTGTTAATTTTTAGTTTTTCCATAGAATTTCTATTTATCCTTTCTTTCCGATCATTCTTTACATTTTTAGGTTAACTTTAACCATAAGTATCGTTTTCTAATTTATTAAATCCACCCCAAAACTCTAATTACAAATTTAAAATTAGAAATAATACGCTTCATTGCATACTAAAATATTAGATGCACGTTATGTTCTTCTTTCTCTACTAAAACTCCATATAATAATTGAAATTATCCCTATTTCTCTCCGTCATTTTCCAGTCATCCAGTCATGCCGGGTTTGCACGAGCCATTCGAGGCCAGCGAATTCCTGTCTTGCTTCAGGATTACAGGATTCCCGAGCCGGATTACAGCTCGGTTTAAATTCCGAAATTTTGGTCATTTTTGGCAGTGTCTTTATTTCTTTTGGCACGAAATTCTTGGACGCTGATGTAAACGTCAAACGAGGCGGCTAATGAGAGCTTTATTTACGGGAAATGTATGTAAAGGTTTTTAGCATTGTTGCAATAACACAGAACAAATGGCGTATTTGATCACTCTTAATACAGATTTCACAGTCACTATCGGAACTACAATGTGGAAAGTATTTGAACAAATTTCAATATTTTTCTCACAATATCGCCGGGCGTTTTTGTTAGGGTGACACGCTAAGCAGAACACAATATTGCACTGCATCTTTTGTAGGATGACACGCTAAGCAGAACACAATAGTACACTGCGTCTTTGGTAGGATGCCGGATGCTCAGTCAAATCGATAAAAATATGTTAGCTCTCAATTTTAGTCAATTTTAAAGGTAATTTGTTTAAAGGTTAATTTTAATGGTAAAGTCAATTTTAAGGGTAAATTGTATTCGGAAGCCTTACAATGACCCTCTCCTGCCAGTAGCAAATACAAAATGCTTCTGCTGGATGAAGGTATAATGTAAGCTTATAGTTACTATACTAAAAGTAAATAAATGTTTGTGACCACTCCGCAACCGACGGCTGACCGGTGTTAATGATGTTTAAAAAGGTCTTCGCTCGGTGTATGAGATTATCGCGAATATAGATTATCGAATAAAGTCGATTTCTGGTGTGCATAATAGGAGAATATATATATCCTGTTATGTTCGTCATGTCTTTATTTTTATTGAATAGCCACCATAAATAGAACCTGAGAGCAGATTATTTTATCAGCAGGATGATAAAATAACAGTATAGATAAAAATAATGAGAATTTTTTATATGTTTTATTTTCAATATCCAAACCGCTTGCAATCGAGTCATGAAAGAAGTGATTGTAATATAATCTTGAAGTTCCATTAATAATTAGTAAATGAGATTCATCCCTCTAGAGGGCTTATTTTGTTTCTCTCATGTTTCATGTTCTTATATTGCTGATTTTAATTTCTATTTTATTCGCTAGCTTACTTTCAGTATTATTATTCACTTTTGCCTGAAGGTAGTTCGGTCAAAACATTACGAATCCGAGTCACAAAAAAAAATAATCCATTAAGAGAGAAACGGCTCGGAAATATTTTTCTTCTTAACGCTTGAATCCTAAGGAGAAGAAATTTTTTGGACTGATGTACGCTCAATAGTTCTAATTGTGAATGTAACCCGCACATTTTGTTGACTCATTCGTACCGTTGTATGCACAGCGAGTGGTGTCGAAGCGAGACACGTCAATTCAATTTGACAATACTTAAATACTTTGACAACACACGTCAATTCAGAATACAATACTTTGACCTAACGTTAAATTTATAATAAGTCGCTATGCTGTTTTCACTGCTGTTTCTTTGTATAACTTTTAAGAGAGAGGGAGTTGCATTTTTGTAAGATATATTATATCGAAGTGGGGTTTCCACATTTTTTGCAGCGACATTTTCCGCGTGAAATTCGAGTGTAAGAATTCTGAAGCCGCATCGTGAAATATTTAATAGGTATATTGTATTCGTTATACTTCTTGGGCACTTTTACCACTAAAGAGATAAAAAATGCATGTATTATGATCGGAGGCATTATTGCGGAGAATTAGACGATTCTCGAGCCCAAAGTGAGCCCATTAAGATCCCTTTACTCGGCTGCTCCTAAAGCAGCCCATTTATATCGGCCTATAATATTTTAGGGCAGTAATTCGGCATAATATTTACTTTTATTCGTAGCCCCATCGGCAGCTGATGGATGGTAATTAATTATTAGTCACTGGAACGTTCCAGTACAAGGAGCATTTTCTCACTGTAGAGTTTAGTTGCCATTTGAAAACATAAATTCAATCTCTGCGCACTATTGCCTCGTAGCGGAAAATTAATATTTACATGGAATTAAAAAGTTTATTTTATTTACTTCAGTTGTTTGCGTTTACTAGTTTTCTGCTGTTCAAAGTGTTACGAAAAAAACTTTGTTGTTCGGTCGAGTCTGCAATTCGTTTTGAGGCCCCGGGACACGAGGAGGCCTTGAAGTTCTCATGGAAATTGTCTTCTATTTTTGGGGCGGATATTTAATAAAGAGATCCAGGCTGTGAAAAGAGGAAAGGGCATAAAAATGCTGATCCTTAGGGAGTCACATGTAAGTAGAGAGGAGCTGCAGGTCAGAAAAGATCATCTAAAAGAGAAGGAAGGAAAAGTTGTGGTAATTGCAAATTATTTAATAGAAGTTTATGATAAGGACTTGATAAGATATTGAGATCGTATTTTTGCCATGAATGATAAAATTGATACGAGGCTTATATTGATATCGAACGCATAGTCAAATTTAATTTCTAAGCTCTGAGATTTACTATTTTCAGCCAACTTTATCGGATGAGAGCATATCGTTATTTTCGTGGCGAAGAAACATCATCTGGAGTATGTCGACTTCGATGGGATGGAAATAAGGCTTTTTATGGCATGGAAAATGATTTATTCCTCATGTATTAAATAGTCGCATCTACTTGATGAATTTTATTTGAACGAGCAAGTAAAATTCTTAAATCACAAAAAGTCATATGCCGTCTTTACGTGGTTAACAATTAGTAACAAGGAAGTACGTGAAAGTTTACCGATTTTTAGAGCGATTCTGTTATAATTAAAATTAAAAGTTCAAATGACGCAAAGCCCTCCGAACGATTCTAAATAAAAATGCAGGTCTTTGAAATTTTATTTATTTGTGTTTCCAGATTACGAAATTCGACTTGGACCTATACTTTTTGCCATAATTTTTGTTCTTAATCTCAGCCTTCTGAGACAACCTTTAACTTTCATCAATTAACAGTAGATGGACTCTTTTACTCTGTAACTCATTCAAACCTGTCACAATAATTCATTAGAATCAAATTAGAATTAACTAATATTACCAATAGAGTGATATTATTACTAAAATGAACTCTCGGACGGATCTAAGGGAGTGAAATTAAGGCCACAATATTTGCAACAACTTATCTCTCAGCGGCAGTCGAGAACAGCGGCTATTTATGAACAAAGTTCTAAGCGAAGTGGTTCAGAGAAAAACGTCCAACCAAGACCTGCAATGATTTACCTGACATGCCTATGACCTGCAATGGAACAGACCTCTCCCGTCTACGAAGGAGTGCAGTGACAAGGAAAATTCGTCCCGACACTTTTTCCAATGGTATTCACGACACCATGATCAAAAACTCATCAAGTGACACAACTGAGTCTTTTTCATCAGCGTCGAATGAACTAACCCCCGCTAAAACACATGATTTTCCACCTCTCGGATCGATCGAAGGTTCAATTGGCAAAACGACTGTGGGTTCTCTAGGACCAGCGGCCGTGGATCCATATGGGGTAATTTCGTTAGATAAAAATGTGAATTATTTTGGATACTCGTATGGAGGAATAGATCCCTATGGAGGAGCGAACACTTCCATGAATCACACAGAAGTTGAAGTGCAGCGTGAAGTGCTGGACAGGAAAGTCTTCGTATCTTGGAGTGACGTGAGAGAAGAGCTGACATGGGCTCTGCCGGCGCACACGTATGGGCTGGCCTGCTTATTTTTCTTACTCGCCTTCTACACCTTCTGCTCCGTGCTCAACCTCAGGTCTGGATACTCGTTTATAATTTCAAACCTCCTTGGTATGAATGAATATAATATATTGAATATAATATGTTTTCTTCAATAAATGAATGAATGTAATATATTCAATTATTGATTTTTTCAATTTAAACTATTTAATTCTTGACTGTGAATAGCAAATTGAAAATTATCGAATACTAAATAATTAAAACTAGTAATGGATGCCTATAAATAATTAAGCGAGTTAACTAATGTCTGCACAGCGATGAGCCGTCTTAAGAAAGTATTTATATATTTTGAGTTCAAATATTTTGACAGAGGCTTGTTATATATTTGCATAGATATAAACCATAATTAGGAGGTTTAAATGTATGAATTTCTTAAAGTTACAATTTGTATTTACTAATTCCAGGCCTCAGATGAGCGCCCGACCCTACATGTCAACCATCAATGTCTTCATCTGCATCCTGAGCATCACACGCGCCTCCTGCTTCATCATAGACCCCTACCAGGACATTCAGGTCAGTTGAAAATAAGTTAAAAAAGAAGAAAAAAGTGCATTAGTTTCATATTAATGTGAATTTTTTTATAATTTGGATAGGAAGGTCAAGCTTTTTTCTCACAGTTAATTGCTGGTGGTTTCAAGCATGAGCATCAAATGGTCTGAACGCGTATAACGGCTCGACCATTTGCGTTTCACATTGAAGAGCACAGAAAATAACGAAATGATGTTTTATTGTCATAATATATTAAGGAGCATTTAAAATAAAATTAAGACAAGTTAAATTATTACAATAGAGGAGGGAATTTATTGGGAATTCTAGGCAAGTCATTTATCATCGCTTATATAGGAGTGTAGGTTCAAATTAATACTGTATGTTGAGCTGCTCGCTTGTGAAATATATTTTAATATACTATTAAGTTTTAATTTTTTCTCCTATTGTCTAAGTAAATTGTACCTAATTTCCGGACAAATGGTCTGTAATGCTAATAATTTAGTCTCGTTTAAATATATCATCATGCACATTTTAAGAAGACCAGATATAATTTATATACATGCTACTGACTCGCTTTGTATTGTATGCAGTTTCGACAAAACTATAAATCAATTTTCTAAACTTACTTCAGAGACCACATAAAATTTCGACGGGCAAACAACTTAAAATTAAGCGCGCGTATTTTAGAGAATAAAAAGTAAGTTGCATTACAGGCAGTGCCGGTCTATTTAACGATTAAGGAAATGTTTGTTTTTCGTTTCATTCAAACACTGCGAAAAAGATTTCGTGTCGGCCTGAAAGTAAATTATGTTGTGATGAAAAGAATTACGAAATGCCAGAAAAGTACATGAGCTTGAATATAAAATTTGTAACGCCTGAAATACTAGTTTATTTGTATTTTTGTGTGGGATATGAGGCTTAAGTTTTTAAGAATGCTATGTCTTGAAACGGTACGCGTGCAGGGTACGAATGCTTGCCGCAGACTTACTGTAGGATTATTATAGAAAGCGCAGAATTTAGGTTTTCTGTTAAAAATTAAATCAAATTAGCCTGGCAATCTCAGAGTTAGTGCATTTTAGTCTTATAAACACAGAATAAAAGTCACTCAAGTGCAGAATTAAAACCTTTCGAAGACAAAATTTAAACCTCTTGTACATAGAATTACCATCACTTAAGAACAAAAATGAACCTTTCCAACTCAGAATTACAGCCTAATGAGAACAGATTACCTACACTTTCTGAGCACAGAATTAGTCTTCTCAGCACAGAATTAGCGTCTTCTCAGCACAGAATTAGCGTCTTCTCAGCACAGAATTACTGTCTTCTCAGCACAGAATTAGCGTCTTCTCAGCACAGAATTACCGTCTTCTCAGCACAGAATTAGCATCTTCTCAGCACAGAATTACAGTCTTCTCGGCACAGAATTAGCGCCTTCTTCAGCACAAAATTACCGTCTTCTCGGCACAAAATTACCGTCTTCTCGGCACAAAATTACCGTCTTCTCAGCACAGAATTACCGTCTTCTCAGCACAGAATTACCGTCTTCTCAGCACAGAATTACCGTCTTCTAAGCACAGAATTACCGTCTTCTCAGCACAGAATTACCGTCTTCTCAGCACAGAATTACCGTCTTCTCAGCACAGAATTACCGTCTTCTCAGCACAGAATTACCGTCTTCTCGGCACAGAATTAGAATCTCAGCACAAAACTACTGTCTATTCTGCACAGATTTACAAATTTCAGATCGCAAAATTCCTGCTGTGCAATGTATGCATGGAGAGCATCGTGAGTGAAGTTGTGCTGGAAATAACCACTCATTGCGGTGAACAATGTGCCGCCATTAATTGCAGGGATGGTCGCGCGCCTCCATATGAATTTGCTTCAGGGTTAACGTTTCATCGGAATTAATCAGTCAAATAATTGTAGATTTTCATTTTTTTTTTAATTTTGTACACTTGTTATGTTTCTTTCAAAAATGAATCAAAAATCAGTTGATAATAATCGTGACCGTATATTCAGATAATTTCCACGCTTTTTACGTGCTGTCAAATTCTCATCAAAATTAATTGTCAATTTATATAAATATCTCTTCGGCCAGATTCGTTGTTAAGGGGATTGTTTTTTATGAAAAATTGGACTGTATCAAGGTTCGAATAAAGTAAACGCTTGATGTGTGATTATATCAAATTAAACTTTGTAACCACTGGTGTCAAATATTATGTTTCGAAAGCACAAACGAATTAAGAGATACATTTGATTTAAAATCGGCGTTGAAACAACTGCACGTGCAATTCTACTTGACGAGGCAACGAGACGTCGAGACAAGCGGCAGCCTGTCAACAGATGCAATTAGCACCTCAGGACGGTATGATTACTGTCCTGTAATTACCTTCATCGTTACCAGCATTGTATTACTCCCTGTAATTACCACGCTTCTGCCACTGCACTGCCACAATCCCCAAAGGAAACTGTTGCAGCCGATCACCGACGGCTTTTCAAGCTAAACCGATGCCTGAACTAGGACCGCTACGTGTACTATAAGGCCGCTACGTGCACTAGGGCCGTTACGTGTACTTGAGCCGCTACGTGCACTTGGGCCGCTACGTGTACTTGGGCCGCTACGTGAACCTGGGCTGTTACGTGCACTTGTACCGCTACGTGTTCTTTCACGTAAACTGATGAATAGTTTCAATTACCTGCTGCAAGTATAATTAGGAGCGAGGAAACGTTGTTGCTGATCCAGCAACATGACCGGGTTTATGTACGAGAATATTGACTGGTCAAGTTACCTTATATATATAAAATTAAGCCACATATATTATAATTATTATATATAATAATGGTAGCAGAGATAATACCAAGGAGTTGCAGATGAGTTTTTTTATTCGCTCCATGAGTCGTGAATGCTCTTCATTAATAATTATAACTAGTTCCATCTTTATTAACTGTGGTTAATAAAGATGGGATGTTTAGGGGCTGTTAATACGTAGTTTACTTGAGAGGGGGAAGCCTCGGGAAATGCTTACTTAATTGATTATAAATCTGGGGGATTTATACAATCAATAGAAGGAATACAAGAATATAAAAAATTAATTATATTCTTTGTGCAAGACATAAATTATGAAGAGTTCATACGGTAGACGTCAAAGTATTCATAACAAAGATTCAAATTGTAATCGAAGGTTTTTATCCAATGAATTAATGTGTTACAATTCTTTATTATAGACATTAAACAAATTTATGCTGTACAAAGACATAACAAAGGTTTACATTGTAATTGAACGTTTTTATCCATTGAATCTATGTCGTGCTACATATTGTTAGAATAGACAGTAAACAACTATATGTTAGTTATATATATGTTTGTTAGTATATTTGTTTGTTGCATTTATTTGTATATTGTATTATTTGTATATACTAACAAATATTGTTAGTATATTTATTTCTTAGTATATTTGTAGTATTTGTCTATACCAACAAATATTCAGAGCTGGGCAGCGCTACTTTGAAATGTAGCGGCCGCTACCGCTACCGCTACATGCTCTAAATGTAGCGGGCGCTACCGCTACAATTGCCTAAGGGGACCCATCACCCCTAAATTTTCAATTTTGGCGTTTTCCGGTTTTTGTGCTCATCTTAAAGCTTACTTTCTGACGCATCGGACGGTACCAGAATCATCTCTCTACGTCGAAAAAGGATTTCGTGACAGCTCCCTAAAGAGGGGCGGTTTCGAGGGCCCTTCAGTAAAGTCTATGGGATTAATTCGAAGGCTGGACACACTAAAAAGAAACGTCTGACGTAAAGCGGCCAATTATGGCATTATCCGGTGCTTATACTCATCTTAAAGCTTACTCTCTGACGCGTCGAACGGTACCAAAACCATCTTTCTACCTGCATTTTGACGTACACGACGAACCGTGGAATGGGGGGCGGCGGTGGGCGGCCTTCAGTAATTCCTATGGGCGTAATTCGAGAGCAGGGCTATAAATATAGCCTGCTGCAGCCAGAGCATTCAGTGTCCATCATGACAGCGAGGTGAGAGGTATGCAGCCAGTCCCTCTATGCTTCGCTGACTTGGTTTGAGGCATAATTACGGTATCTAGGCTACGTTACGACTCTTTCACGTCCTTTTACGTGCCGCGCGGCAGTTTTTTGGGCGTGGTGTAAACCTCCTATTGCTCTCACGGCAAACCTATCTCCTCCTACAGTTTTCAAGCTACAGCAATGAGAGTCATATCATTCGATTTGTAAAGACCATACCTATCGATTTAGCCATCCTTTTTTTTGAATTTGTGCATGGTTCGTCTTATATATGGGGAGAAGGAGGGGGGAGGGGGGAAAATGAGAAAAATGGGAAAAACGCGCATAAAAAAACTACGGGGAAAATAAAAAAAAGGATGGCAGAGTCGATAGGTATGGTCTTTACGAATCGAATGATACGTGTCTCGATGTTGTAGGACGATATTTGTAGGAGGAGATAGATTTTTTATAGTATCCGTTTTTTTGCCGTTTTCGATGAATATCACGTTTTCTATCAATTTTTTCGAAAAATTTGTACGAGCAAAATGTTATTTTTTAAACATTTTACGTGTGTATGTGAAGTTTCACGATGATCGGATAATAACTGTAGAAGTTTTTACGGAGGGTGATGGGTCCCCTTAAAACAGTGGTTCCCAAACTTTTTCAGGCTGACGCCCCCTTTGACTCCCTAGTGAACTTCTAGCGCCCCCCACAGACATATATGAAAACATACGCCTCTTTCTTGAAATTTAGTACGCTGCAATTTTAATAGATAAATGTTAAACACAAATGTGTATTTCACAAATAGAACCCCATTTAGTGAACCAGTATGTTTTTATGCTGTTTTAACTGTTTCAGCACTAGAAACCTAGAACGTCTCGGGCAAATTCACGGCCGGACTCGTGGCCGGTCGCAAGACCAATCTCCAAAATTCAATTGTCAAGTAATATCTCCCAAACTAATGAACGCAGCTCAAGGTAACTTGGAACATATATTCATCAGTACCTAACGTTGATTTTTAGCTCGTAAAAAATTTTAAATTTCACCTTCATTCGTGAGTTATATTGCGATTAAGGCTGAAATTCGCAGTGATCAAAGAATTTCTTACAAACTACTGAACAGATTTGAACGCAAGTTTGAATATACATTCCTAACTACCAAGCGTTGACTTTTTTGGCTTTTAAAAATTTTCGATTTTACCTTTGTTTGCGAGTTTTTTTTCATTTCACAGTCATTATTGATTTCACATTTCATTATATTCGGCCCGTATCGCCGGATAATTTGTCGCTTACATTAGCGGCGATCAAGAAATTTCTTCTAAACTACTGAACAGATTTCAACAAAACTTTGTATATAAATACCTAACCTCTCAACGGTGATGTTTAGCTCGTGATAATTTTTCTAGTTTGCTTTCGTTCGCGAGTTATACAGATATAGGAGGAACGACCGGCTTTTCTACCGGCCGGTTTAACCAAGAGCCGTTTACGTATATCCGAATACGTATAGCCGTACAACTCGCAAGCGAAGGCAAAACGAAAAAATTGTAGCGAGCTAAACATCACCGTTGCTGAGGTTAGGTATTTAAATACTAAGTTTCGTTCAAATCAATTCAGTAGTTTTGAAAGGAATTTCTTGATTACTGCGAATTTAAGCACGCATTGCTGTTTAAATCACGAATGAAGATAAGTGGAAAAAAACTCGCGAACAAAGGCACAATCGAATAAATTTTCATGAGCTGATTATTAACGTTTGGAAGTAAGGACTGTAAAATGTAAATTCAAAATTTCGTTCGAATCTGCTCAATAGTTAGGAAAAAATTTCTTGATTACCCGGTACTGTGAATTTCGGCCCGTATTGCCATATAACTATGGCAAAAACAAATGAAGGCAAAATAAAAAAATTCACGAGCTTAACATTACCGTTGGGTCCTAATGAATACGCGTACCAAGTTTCATCGAGTTAAGTTCATTAGTTTGAGAGATATTACTCGAACATTGAATTGGAAATTGGCCGTGAGATCGGCCGAGAGTCTGGCCGTTAATTTGTCCTAGACGTAAACCCAGGAGAGGTTAAAAAACAGATCTGGGTGAAAAACCCATCGCTGGAAGTCATGTGCTGCACTTGTTGTGTACAAATCGTCAAACAAACGTTCGAACTTCTGACTTCGGACTACCGCCCCCCTATCGCCCCCCAAACGCCCTCTTCTACCTTACCGCCCCCCAAAATCTTTCCATCGCCCCTAGGGGGGCGATATCGCCCACTTTGGGAACCACTGCCTTAAAATATAGCGCCGCTACCGCTACCGCAACTGAAAATGTAGCGGCCGCTACATGTAGTGCGCTACTGCCCACCTCTACAAATATTGTTAGGATCGACAGTAAACAACGATATGTTAGTATATTTATTTGTTAGTATATATTTATTATTTGTCTATTCCAACAAATATTGTTAGTATAAACATTAAAGAAATATATGATGTCTGGCCAGGCTGTACCCCGGTTCGTGGCCACGGTGCTGTGGGACGCAGGCTACCCGTGCATCTTAGCAGCCTTCAGTCTCGTGCAGCTCGCCTTCTCCAGGCTAACGCAGGCAAGAAGAATGATATATATTATATTTATTCCAGATGCCTGCAGGTTGGCCAACTTTCTTAATCATAATCCAGTGAAAATAAATTTATTTTTATTTTATATATCTGCAGACTGTCCAACCTCATCAAGGCTCACACAGTCAGACAACATTTTTGAAAAACTTTTTATTCTAGATGCCTGCAGTCTGCCTCGATCTCTCCAAGCTCACTAGAATAAGATATATCCTTACGAAAACAATTGTAAGGATATATCTCATTCTATCAGCATGTGGTAGGCCATTTAAATAATTCAACCGAGAGGAGACTAAATTTAGGGTAACTAATCATTTTTATGCCAGCTAAAGGTTTTCCTTCTCATAATTGAGGTAATTGTGCATTAACAAGATGTATGTATTAAATTTAATTGTGCCTAACTGAAAAAGGCATGATGATCTTTAGAACATCATAATTGTTAGGAAGAAGAAGCATAAACTTCTTAAGCTTTCCCGCTCTGGTATAATTCGTCGCCGATCGTACACCATTTACCGTAATGTCCTAAATGCGCTAATCAAGACAGTTAAGAAACAATTCTACTCAGCCAAAATTATGCAGAGGTCGAATGACTCAACAGTTTTATGGAAAATTGTCAACACCTAACTTGTAAAAAATGTTGCTAACAAAAGAATTGAATTGTTAAAAAATAACAAGCTAATTTCTGGTAGCGAGGCAGCAATTGAATTTAACAATTATTTTATCTCTGTTGCAAATGACATCACTAAAAACTTAGGTCCAGTGATTAAAACTTGACGATATGTTCAGATTTCAACTTTTAAAGTTCATGAATAGAGCACTTTACCATGATGAGCGTCTTTTTAAAACTGCTTTCGCCCCCTCTTGTTCCCCAGCATTCTCACAACACCAGGGGCGTTCGATTTAACCTACCACCGGTTCGTTTAGACATAGAAAAAAACGGTACCGTTTTTAATTGTGTCAAATATTTTAACGAATTGCCCGATGAGTTCAAACAAGATTGCTCTAAAATGTTTTTAAAAATAAAATACCGTGATTTTATCCTTAACCAGTATTAATTTGACTTCGATTATTATGCAAGTTTTTAGGTATTTTGACTAGATGTTTATAGTTGTACTCTGTTTTACTAAGTGTGATGTTGACATTGCCTATTTTTTTGCTGATTTTTCTGCTATGACATACAGTTATCAGTTTTTAAGGCTTTTGTCAATGGTTTTGCTAATTTTATAAATTTGTTACTTATTTGTTCAAATCGTCGTCTTGTTATAATTGGAATTGAGTCATGTACCTATTGTTTTGCCTGCGAAGCTTTTTTAGCTTATGGGCATTCACCTGGAAGCCTTAATTGCTATTTTATTTCACGTCTCTTTTTATTTTTTCATTGTAACGTGTGCTCCTGTGTGAATAAATAAATAAATCAAATAAATAAATCAATTAATGATGACTAATTTGATCATCATGGTTAATTATGATTAATGATGAAAAAGTCATTATTAATTTAATATTAATAAATGATTAAAATAGCCTTTAAATGATACATTCGATGGTATTTCTTTTATTTAACCATCAGTGGGATCTATAAAGAAACGGTAACATTTACATCATCCTACGATGTAAATTATGAAAATCTATTTATAAATTTCTCTTTAAAATTCGATTTTTACTGAGAGAATTGAATTCCCGGATTTTATTATTAATAAGCATTCGTTTACTATTATGCGGGATTTTAAATATTGTGAATAAGCGTTGACCCTTGCAGTGCAGCTAAAATGTATGGAATTGCGTCAATTTTTCAAGTGCGCATTATAAGAGATGCCATTCGATGGAAACTTAGTCAAATTTTACCAAAAATAAATAAGTTTAGATTTGTGCGTTACGCTCTAATTTCAATTACTGAAATTAAATTTGAATTTACAACTACTGAATGTCACCGAAATTTCACCCTTTGAAATGGAAATCGCAATTACAGCAGCGGAAAGTTAACATGATAGTCGACTCTGCAATTGAAATTGCTGTTCCAACAATTGAAAGTCACGGACATTTCTGCCTCTAAAATGAAAGTCACAAGCAACACGTGCACAGATAAATTTAGGTCAATTTAGGCGAAGTTGCGACTACAGAAATATTGCATGTCATGGAAATTTCATACGCTATTATGAAAGTTATTTTAACCGTTTTAGAATCACTCAGACTCAGATTACACTTGGAAATTGGATCATTACGTATACGGAAATCCGATGTGTTATTAGGGCAGATGAAGGGCATGGAAATCTTGTGTATTCAGCACGGATCTTCAATAGATATTTGTCTGCATGGAGTCCGATCACTCGAGCGGCAAGTTGCGGACAGCGGAACAATGACGTGAACAATAGCAGTGAGCGCACCATTGTCGGTTCACCACAGAACCGCTCTTTGAAGAAATTTAGGAATATATGGAATATTGTACCCCAACCTCCATCATGTCTGCATTTATTCATGTCTTGCGTGAGGGGAATAATGGGCTTCTGAATGTTTATGGATATTGTTGAATTGGTGAATATCATAATACCGTATGTAAAATTTGTACTGTATTTTTACTTTTTGAATAACTGGACTTGTTTGAGTTGTGTCAATAATTTGATCCAGCTCTATATCATATGTAATTTTTTCATTTAAATTTCATTTTCTCGATTGAGGACATTTTGTATGTTCAGAATATTGAATTTTTAAATATATTTATGACCGAGATTTTATTTTTTAACGAAGTATGTTTGAAAAATTAAAAACATATCTGAAATGCTTACAAACTTTCGTTTCTTAATAATTTTTTTAATGCATTACGAATATAATTGATCACTTGATCAATTTTTATGTCGACAAACTTTGTTAAACTCAAGAAGTAATCAAGTGATGATATAATTGAAGAAAAGCGTCGATATAATTTTTTTAATAATACTCGTAATAATAATAACAATAATTTTTTAATGGCTTACCAACAATGTCGAAGCTCCTCAGTCGTGTCGGTGCGAGGTCTTCCAGTTCTAGATGATTAAAATAGCCTAAATTTTACCAATTTCTAAGTAATATTTTACAATCTAAATCGTTATGCTTCTTTTAGACATAAATAAAACGTCAAAGGAACTTCCTAACCACAATTCAAACCCAAAAAATCATTTTAAAATGCTTGCCTCAATGAAAAGCAACTGCTGTTTGCATCCTCTTATCAACACGCCAGAAACAATAACAAATCTAATAAAAGTAGATGATATTACAAACTATTGCGTAGAAGTAGATGAAGTCCGCTTTGTGGACCAGAATGTGATTCAACGTATGTATGTGTTGTTATGAGAAGAATGGTTCGTGGATGTGGTCAAAATTTGTTTGATTTTCTACTAAGTTCAATTCAATTCATTCATCATTTTTATGCCCAGGTTGACTTCAAGCCGAAGGCTCTGCTCAGCGGGTCGTCTGTCCGTCTGATGATGACAGCTCACTTCTCCTTCACCATCCTGGCTGACCTCGCCACGGCCTTCAACGCTGGACTGCAGGTCACTATACTCCCGTCACTTGTTCATATGTTGCATGGTGCATTACATGTTTAAATGTTGCATGACACATTTCATGTATAAATGTTTCATGACTCATTACTCATCTAAATGATAATATAATATTGGATAATACATCACAAGATCAGATGTTTCATAACACATAGAATGATTGAATTTCTCATGTAAATGAAACAGAAAATGTTGCTGTTTCATTTACAGTTTCATTTCATTTCATTTACTGGTTCCTTCTAGTTCCGTTTCTATACACTCTTGATAAGACCGACTACCCATCGTATACTGCCAGCTGGTCTCACAGTATACTGTTCTCACAGTTTACTGCCCTCATAGCATACTGTCCTCACAATATAATGTTCATAAAAGTCTCTTCTCCGTAGCCTGTTGATACATTAACATTCTCCTTGTATGTTCATGAGCCCTCAATTTATACTGTTTAGAAACATAGGGAACATTTAAAACCGGCGGATCCAATCCGCTGTGGTTCCGACTGGAAATTTGAGAATGATATAAAATTCCCATATGATTTTTTTATTACGATTGTAATTCATATTATGATTTTACAAGTAACCCGACGAGGCACAGCTGGTAGTGAAACACAGTTGTAACAGAGCACGTATATACTGGCAACCCAGAGAGACAGAGATCTGGATGACTTAGTCTGATGATTGTGAGATTGTTATCTCAAGGTTCAATAAACAAAAGATCTTTATAAGTCTAATTATAACTATTATTAAGCAGAGAGGCGCATATGAGTTATCTGAGAGCAATAATGAGAGTAGCGACGTAATGAGAGGAGTCGCGAGAGGAGAAGGATTCCGCTGTACCCTAGAGGACGGACAACAAAACTTACAATTAACACCAATGAATAAATAATCTGACTATATTAGCACGATATAACCTTTACTAATAACAAATATAGAAAACAATAGTTAACCTCGTCAAACTCATACCTTAGAGTCGTGCTCTGCAGCCTAAGTAGCTCAGACCACTTCGCAGGGACATACAGGACGAAGTGCTTCTAATTCTATGACTAGGCTCAAAGAAAGGTTGCATGCCTGTCAGTAGTACGGAATGGGCTTACAATACTACAATGATGATAAAACAGATACTAACTCGACGTGTTGCTATCCTTCACATTGGGTTCCGAAGGCACGTTAAGGTTCGGACTCTAGTTGTGAACATCAACTCTACACAAGTGGTAGCGGCACCGAGAAGAGAGGATTCGAGCCTTGGGAAGCTTGGTCCATTTCTAGTCTCGATGTCGGTAATGTTTGGTATCCGTCAGAGGTGGTGCTTTTATCGTGGGTTAGGGTTGGTGTCACTCTATGTACGTGTTACCTTAAGTTTTTAATCATGTCTCCAAGGTATGGGGGCTGCTGCTGAGGTGCCTTCTTATACTTGGATGCTTCCTCCCCCGCCAGGCTGTAATGTACGGGGTGAAGACTGTCTTCATTGCCTGGGGGCTGTTGCTGAGCTGTCTTTATATACTTGGATGCTTCCTCCCCCACCAGGCTGTAATGTACGGGGTGAAGACAGTCTTCATTGCCTGGGGGCTGTTACTGAGCTGCTCGTTTCTGTACGGCGGCGCCCGGCTGTTGCGGCTGCTGCACTCGCTTCCTAACAGCGCTTTCGCTGCTAACTCGGACGGCCAGCAGAATAAAGGTGAGTACTCCTTTGTTTTCTTTATTCTTTTGTATTCATTTAATACATCTATTGTAACAGATTCATCTAAAACAACCATAGCTACAGATTCATCTAATTCATTCATCGCAACAGATTCAACTAATACATCCATCGCTACAGTTTCATCTAATACATACATCACAGTCATCTACATCATAGTCATCTACATCACAGTCATCTTCATCACAGTCATTCACATCACAGTCATCTACATCAAAGTCATCCACATCACAGTTATCCACATCACAGGCATTCACATCACAGTCATCTACATCAAAGTCATCCACATCATAGTGATACACATCAAAGTCATCACATCAAAGTCATCACATCACAGTCATCTACATTACAGTCATCCACATCACAGTCATCCACAGCACAGTCATTCACACCACAGTCATCCACATCACTGTCATTCACACCACAGTTATTCACATCACAGTCATTCACACCACTGTCATCCACATCATAGTCATTCACATCACTGTCACATCACCTTCAAGTTTAGTGTTATAATGATTGCGATTATTTATTATTATGATAATGGTCTAATAATGATAGAGGTGTTAATTTGTGATAATTAAGCTATGACGTTATTGTTTGAATTTAGTAATTAGTTTAAGTGATTAATTTCAATATATTTACTGAATTTTATGTCGTTTTAATGACGCAATTTCAAGTCAAATCTGGTGTTCTAAGCAGAACAAGAGTAACATAAATGCAATACCCTTTTACCCTACTAATATTCATAGGGCCCTTACAAATAATGATAACATTCATTCCAATATGCCTTATGTTCGGCTCCTTAATCAAGCCTTATAATAACTACAAAAATAAACTGTATCATATCCACGTGTATAATTTGTACCCTGGCACAGAATGCCATATCAAGGCTCCTTTGGCCTTATAATAACCACAAAAATAAACTGTATCATCTTCACCTGTATAATTGTATCCTGGCACAGAATGCCATCTCGTGTCCCTGTTATCATATTCTCTTTTATAATAATATGTATTTATATGGTGTCCTGGCACAGGCATTCTGGTAGCATATTCTCCTCTATAATAATATGTATTTATACGGCGTGCTGGCTAGGCATCCTTCAGTTGGCGCTGCTGGCGCAGTGCAACAACATCGCGAGTTCTGTGCTGACGGCCGCGGCGCCGTCCATCTCCACGCCCAAGATCCGCATCACCGACGAGCACGAGCGCACCTTCAGCTACGCCTCAGGCACGTCTAAGCGGTCGTCACTGCAGCACGACCACGGCACACGTATAAATCCTCGTTACCGTATCTAAGTTTAATTAGTTTATATTATTGTTACTTTTTTCTTACAATTGAAAAAAATCAATAATGGAAATGACATAACATGAAAAATAGCGAAAGAAAAATCGGTCGCTGTTGTTAATTCCCTTTAAAGAGTATAACATACGGATGAAATTTCGTATTAAAAAATTATATACTAAATTGAATTAAAAAATGAATAGCTTTTATTTCTGTCAGAGTTTAAGGTTCGGTTCACTTGTGTTGGTGGTGAGAAATAAGAACGGTTCAAAATTCACACATTAATAGGTTTGAAATGGGATTAGAGGAATCACTATTAATTGTCCACTGAAGGACACAAATTGGATTAGTGTAATTATGATTAATTGTCCTCTGATGGCCACAAATGGGATTAGAGTAGTAAGGATTAATTGTCCTCTGAGGGACACAAAGGGGATTAAAGTAATAAGGTTTAATTGTCATATGAAGGACACAAAGGGGATTAAAGTAATAAGGTTTAATTGTCATTTGAGGGACACAAATAACTATAAAATAATGTTAAGTTTGTGTTGAACGACTCAATGGGACTCAGAATAATGCATTGAGCTAAAGTCAATCACTTCTGCGTATTCCAAATAATTCTATATCTGCTATGTTTTTACCTTTGGTTTGATTATCTGCTTCAGGTTCAGATGCTTGTTGAGTTTTTATGCATTCTACGATAAAATTGATACATTGGAGAAATTGCATGACCGGTCGAAAACGAGAACTTTATTATTGTTAATTATAATTTTAAAGATTTTCATTATTAAACTCACTTAAAAGTCGTTAAATAATTAGGCCAAGTAAACTGAACTTGATAATGTCATTAATTTTATAATTTTCCGATTTCATTAATGCGTAAAAATTGTTTATGCACAGAAGAAAAATTGTGCATGATTGACACTTGATTTTATATTGAAATGAAACGTAACGTAACTAAGATAATAATCTTAAAAAAATTAATAATATTTTAAAATAGAAGAATAATAAACTGCTCGATTAGAAGCGCGTGAAAAATTGCCGCGACTAAACAAAAGTTTACATTAATACTTCATATTCAAAATTCTGAAAGTCTTCAAATTTTTTACTTAGATGTAATCAGCATTCATATGCACTTTTAAATAGCGTATCAAATTATCAGATTATATTTTAATGATAGCTTATATTACAGTGAATAATGTAAAGCTTTCTCATTGAAAACGAAGGAAGCTAAAATATTTTCATGTACATCAGAAGTGGAAGATTTCCAATGTATTATTTTATCATAATTTTCTCTATTCATTTTCATCGACGCTGCCAGATTCTTCCCAAAAACCAAAATCCTTCGCGGAAGAAGAACCAAATGGTCACGCAAACGACGGTAATTATTAGAAATACTTTCTATCCGCGAGCAGAATAATTTAAATTAATATTTTTAATGCACGTGTCATCCATCATTCAGGTAAAGAAATTAGAATTAAAAACGAAAAATTCACATATTGAATGAGTCAAGTTGCTTAGGTCTAACTCGGCAATATTGTGGAGCGAGTAAGAATTGTTATGATGAACACCAATGCAATGACATTCATTGTGTATAGGGAATGGAATATACATTTCAGGTCGTATTGTATCAGGTCTTAGAAAAAGTTTCTCTTTATACGGCGGTCCGAAAGGCCAAAATGATGTCTAGTAAGTATTTTATGTAGGAATGTCTGAATAATCTTCTTTTCATCTTCTCGTTGCTTTTCATGGTAAGATGCACGAAAAATGCAAAACCAATGGTTAATTAATATTTTCAACCACCGTACCACCGTAATCGCATTGTATTACCCAAACCACCGAAATCGTTTTTCAACGTAAAAACCACCGCAACTGTATTGTACCACCAAAACCACCAAAATTGTAGGTATGATATCGCCAAAACCTCCAAAATTTCATTGTTAGTCCAGCTCTCTATAAAAGGGACCAGAAAAATGTTACTCACGAATCGTCTCCTCAATGACAAGTCCTGCACGACTCGAGCTAACAACATTAGGGTACGCACACAGTGAAAGCAGGTTGCCAGCGTGCTGGTTACCTGCTCAGGCTGGCGCCTGAAACCAAATACAGAAGCCTATTCGTACAGGTTTTCACTGTGAACACTTACATTATTATCCTATGTTCATTCTTGTGGCAGGTTGAAACCATAGCATACAGAAGCCTATTCGTACAGGTTTTCACTGTGAACACTTACATTATTATCCTATGTTCATTCTTGTGGCAGGTTGGAGCAGGTTGCCCGCGCGGGCAAACCTACTTTCACTGTGTACGTAGCATTACAATGGAATTTTTCACAGGCGCCGTCGGACAAAGCGGCGCTCCGCCTCAGCAGGTCGAGGCTGGCGCGGCAGCGCAGGAAGCCGAGGCACCGCGGACTCCAGCGCTGCCGAGAATAGCCAGGATTGGTTAGATGTTATAAATAAACTAATATAAAGTACAACTTATATTGTTCGAGATTCTTATCTTAATATAAAATTTTATATAAATAAATTTTTGTAATTGTTCCAATAAATAAAATATAAATAAATCTTGGCCATGTTTTGCAATGTTTTGCAAAACTTTTCTTGTTATTTGTATTTTGCAGCTGCATGCTGTCCCGTCTGTAAAATTTTTGGAATATTTTTTGAGTCAATTACAAAATTAAAAAATAAAAAGTTTTCATGAATGTTTATAGTGCTTTTCATTCTTGAGTTATCACCATCTAAACGATTTCAAAAATAAAATTCGTACAATAAATGATCTAATAGCTTAATTTTTCTTTAACAGACGAGTGGCGTAATTGTGTAAAACAGATAGAAATGCTTCATGGCTCAAGTAATCTGCAAAAAATATAAAAAAAGAGATTTACGCGATGCATAATTGAATTAAATATTGGATTAAAGCATTCTATTCATATCATAATAATAATCTGATTGTTTTAGGAGGATTTTTATTGTTAACTTAGAGCATAAATAAATTCTCCCTGCTACTTTTTTTGGCCCGATCTGACAGATTGCGGGACAATTAACTACCCACTTAATTATGCCTGATCATAGGGTTTTGAGGAATAGTCGTTATCACCCAAGTCTGACTTAACAGCTAAGCAATTTTGAATCAATCATATGGATTCTATATGAGTGGAATCATTAAAAAATTCCGAAAATTTAAGTTTGTGACGTAATGTATTGGAGAAATAGCATTTACGTCTTCTGGCAGACACGCAGACGAGCGACTCCAACAACTCCATGACGTCATCGGCGAGCTCGGCTCCAGCAGGCATCAGTCCTGGTCCCTCTCCACCTGATGGTCAGTGGTCATGTCTTAATTAATTTAGTATAAATTTAGCGCTCGATATCTGAATGTGGCAGATTCCTGGAGGCCAGTTTATGCTTCATGGGCTGCGACTCGCCGACTCAGTCCCGAGACGTCTTGTTGTTCAGGTCAAGTATATTGACTAAAATGTTACGAATATTTTATTGTATCCAAGCACACTGGCTACTTTTTACATCTAATTCAGGATTAAATGTTAAAAAAGCCGCCAAAAACAGCTTTAAAAAGTCGCTGAAATAAGTTAAGGAAAACAGGGGCCCAGCCGTGGGCCACTAAGTCAACTCTTAAATTAGCTATGGAGACAACTCCCAGACTCAGCATACTAAAGTTACATTCAGAGTTGGCAGGCGCTGATTACGCTATAACTTAGAGCTGCTAGCCTACTTTGACCTTACCTATTAACGTCGCCTTTACTCTCAACCTTCATGAAGCCCTGAGCAAGCACCTTGCACAAGTGAGCTGGTAAAGCCAGCTCACTTGTGTAAGGTGCTTGCTCCGCCTGTCCTTCGCGCAGCTGAAGAGGTTAGGTTTGATTCTCTCGGGGGGGCAACACGATTCGGTGAGGCCAGAATAAATTGACTATGCATAACTTGAGCGTGCTTAGCAGTGGCTGTGGACAAGCTGCGTCATATATAAGCCTTAAGTTCATGGCTAGAATTTTTTCTAGCGTGTCTATCAACGGAGAGAAACATAACGGGCAGGGAGGGCCAGTGATTGCAGTTCTGAGTACAGATACAGAAGTTGTGGGTTCAATCCCGGCTTCTTGCGACAGTTCTGGTCAAATCAAACATGGGGGGAGGGGGGCGGGCGGTTAAACAAAGATGAGTTGCGTGTTCGAGATCTGCATCACGCTGTGAATATTCTGTGATGCAAAGAATCTGTGATAGGTCTAATGGCCTAATAAACGTTGAACCGCTATTATTATTAAATTATTATAACGAGTACCATGGACTCGATTGCCCTGCAGCTACTGTCTGGTTGAATCAACGTATGCTCGCGACGTTGAAATCTTGTTGAATATTAGTCCAAAATGAAAAGTGAATTAACGTTTGCAACGTCTTCTCGACAGCACATTTTGATGTTGTTTTCACGTTCAAATCGCGTTGAATTCTAACGTTAAAATAGCATAAATAAGAGTTTTAAGAGTTTTTTTCAGGTTTACGTATTCTATCATGAATGTCGCAGTATATGAGCGCTGTATTACAATGAGCTTCATTTATTATATAAAGAAATACTGCTTACTACTCTATCTAATTACTTACCTCAACTTCTTCGCTGAATAAATCAAATCAATTTTAGCCGGAATTGAACCTGCATGGGACATTTATTTCTCGCGCTTCTTCGTTACCCACTAGACCATGCAGCGTAAGGCTTGCATGCATGGAAATGGAAATTGAAAGCTGCTTAACCCAACTTTCTACATCTTAACTAATTAGAAGCAACTTCTGTGCCTAAAATTTCTAAATGCCATTTATTGCTATCATTCATCAAAAAATGAAAAATTAAAGTTGTAGGAATTTTCATATATCTCCATCATATACCATCATCACTTAATAGCAATCGCACGCAGTCAGAGGGTAGATAAATATACCTGCTGCATACTGCCGACTTTTATATACAGTATACTGTATACTAACTGTTAGTAAGAATTATAAGTTGCACTTAATTGATCCGATATTTTGCAATTCGTTGCTAGGAATTGGCAGATAAGAATTGACATATCTTACGTTCCATTGTTATGGGCATATTTCGTACGTGTTCGCGTGCCAACAGTAAATACTGTTAAACTTTAAAGATTCACATCTAATTTAACGCTAGAAACTATTCGAAAATATCTTTCAAGAAAATGGCCAGAGATCCAGATTTATAAGTTAATTTGATGAAAAACTTATTTGCTGAATGCTGCGTGTAACATTTTTGGAAAATTTTTCAGGAATTTAGAAAACTTTGGTGTTCGATTAGAAAACTTTGGTGTTCAATCGATAAATATAATTAAAATTCGTCATTATTTAAATAAAGGCATAAGGATAGTGAATTAATGCCGACTACCGCTTCCACCTGAGACATTTCGAAATCAATGTTCTGATGATTAGTTGAAAGCAATTCACATGTGCAGGAGAATAAGTTGAAAAGGCATATTGCGTAAATTATCTCCGCTATATAATATAAATTAAGTTTTGAAAACAAGAAGGAGCAATCGAAACGTGGTGCGAACGCTTCTGCACTTGTATCTAAACGCATGGATATATATTATATGCATTGTAATGATCGAGCCATAGCCGATGATGTAATTTAGTACATTTTAGAATTAATGTGTCCTCATATTTTCAAGGTAATTGTCTAAAAAAGCCCGACCTTACATTATTTACTTAATGTATGACCGCGTATAAGGTTCGCAATATTTTGTTCTGAAATTGCATGACATTCAAAATAGCTGTGGTGATCTTCCATCAAGGTTAAATTAGATTATTTTTACATAAACTTGGTGGAAGTGTGGTAACGCTTGGTTGACTAAAATATTTATACTATATATTGGCTGACTGAAATAGTTACATGTCTATGCATAAATCATTCAATTTTGGTGTTATAACATTAAATAAACGTTGGATAATAGATCAAAATTCAACGTACCAAGATCGACGTTGCCTCAAAGTTGGAATTAATTAGTTTAATTAATTAATTAGCTTAATTAAATTAAATAATTAGTTGCTTTACGTCCCTTCAAGCGATGGTCACACTTCGACGTTGATTCAACGTTTAATTTTGGTTGATCAGCATTTCAACCTGAAATCAACGTTGTTTCAACGTTCGATGCCTACAGGGTGGGCCGTGATGGTCTGTATCATCGATCCCCAAACAGACCTCTTGCTTTCCGTCACTATGAGTATGATGTTGGCGATACATTTTCCAAATAAATACAAATAAAACAAACTTAGGTGTCAGATTAATGACAATTACAATTGAATATGACGTTTCATCATTTTATGCTGTAATCTACTTTCATGATTCTGGAGCAATTATGGAGATGTGATACTATATCACTCGTTGCATGAGAATTGATGATTACTTTTCGTAGGGAACGCTGATTATTATTATTAAAATGTGACCACAAAATTTATTTTGACTGCAAGTGTCTGATGGTAACATGTACAGATGCTAATATGCTTATTCCTACAGGAACTGGAGTGGTTATAGACGAAACTGGGGTTTTCTGCTTCGACGAGTCGGCGACTGACCTCAATAACATCAAAGACTCGCGTACAGAAAAAATCATCCCTGAAGCCGACCCTACCGGAGACGCGTACCTCGACGAGTTCATTATCCCGAAGATCATTTGCAGCATCGAAGAGACTCTCGAAGACGACAAAACCTTCAGCAACAATGCAGATCCTGTGAAAGATGAAATATCATCTCCAAAAAGAAAGAAAAGCATTACTTGGTCCGAGGATTTACCTTCGGAGCTGTCGAAGATTGCAGCTAATGCAGAATTAGTGGCGAAAGAAGAAGGAAACGGACAACTTTCTCCGAAAAGATTTGAAATTGAGACTAGAACCCGGCCTCACAGTTCACTGTCGAGCAGTAACCATCATCAACGACGCCGTCGAAGCAGCACCTTGTCCACTGCATCCAGTAAAAAGGGAAGCTGCAACCCAGATGAGATCTTCAGGAAAGGCAGCTTGAGTTCCAGCGCGTCCAGCAGAAGAAGCAGCTCGGTGTTCGAGTCTCCGAGCAGGAAAAACAGTGTATCTTCGAATATATCGGCACGAAAAGGAAGTGGCTCGAGTGCATCTCAACGCCGAGGCAGTCTTTGCTCGCATGTGTCCAGCAGAAAAGGGAGTGCGGCATCAATTGCGTCAAGTCGCAAGAGCAGCTTATCAAGTCGTAAAGGCAGCGCAACTTGGGATACCCAAAGCAAAGGCAGCAATATAAGCCGTGAAACTCAGGAGAGAATAAACCGTTGCCTTGACACCAGAGATCGTAACGAGAAACGACTTTCGATGAGCGTTGATAACTCGCGAGACAACCACCGGCCTTCCATAACGCCTTCAACGCGAAGCGGCAGACGTAACACACTCACTAACTCGCCCGTTAATGTCGAACTCGAAACTGTGGTCGCCGCCAATGCATCTGAACCTCCAGGAGATTTGACTCTTTCGTGCATTTTAAATCACATTGCCTTTGTCAACCAGACTGAGGTGTCGGCGAAACTCGGAGCACGACTAAAAGAGTCCCGTAAAGAACAAGTCAAGCAGGTGAGAACTGAACAGAGACGTTTATAAACTCGCTATTACATATTTAAACTAGACATTACTTTCTATTCAGTCAGTGTGATCCAAAAGGAAGACATTTGTAGCGTAACAAAATATTTTAATTGTGTGCAGGTGTTGGTGGTGACATACATCACGGCGCTCTTCTGCGCCATGCTGTCACTCCTACTCTTGACTGGGTTGTACCTCGACTTGGGTCCCGGTCCATCGCCGTATTTTTCACCCTGGGCTTGGTTTGCCTACGTGTCATTTTGTCGTGTGTTGGAGCTTGCGATGGGCTGCTGTATGGCAAACATCACCCGGCAATCCGTTAACAGACATTCTCAGTATGCATTTCCACTTAGAATGAAGCACGGGCTAAAGATGTACGTCTGATCCTATACAATCTGACTGTCCCTTAAAACTTTAATTAAACTGCGTAGTGTTGGGAGAAGGGGTATCTAAAACTTGTTTACAAAAATTGTCATGGAATTGATATATTTACATAATAATTTTTCTTTTCAATTTCGTCGATGCCTTAGATTATGAGAAATTAAGTATTTAAAGAAATGTTCAAAGGTATAAAAGTAGTGTGAACCATGGTGCTGGGGAACCACTACCTCTTTATCACTGTATCTCGAAAACGGCCATGAAACGATTTTAGTTCTGATGAAACACTGAGTATTCAAAATAAATTTGGTAAATGACATCTATTTAATTGCGTTGCGCCGTTTAGTAGTCCTTACCAGCGCGTAACTAAATCATGAATGAATAAGATCCTGAAAGTATAAAAACCTAAATTACAGAACGGAAACGTCTAAATTAAAATGGCATAATTGTTGCAAAGAAATGTGAATAAATTTATGCTATTCCCTAACAATGGATTAACCTAAAAAATTAACTCATCTCCTCTTTTGTCTTTGTGAGACGTGTTCTTCGACTTAGCAAGACAATGCATTCATTTGTTGCAATAATGTACGGGCCGAAAAACGCGCGCTAATTAAAGTTTATCTGACTAGCGTTTTAAAAGAAGTCGGTAAACCGTGAATTATAGGAAGTCGTTGAGACATTATTAGACATCCATAGAAACAACATCCAATAAACAATTCTTCGTTTTGAGAGTTTATCGCATGAAGTATAACTTTCAAAAATTGAAGGAATAGCAACCACGAGGCGCAGCCGTATAACTGTAAGCAATCGCAGAAATCCTCAACACATGCGTGGCTTATATATAGACAATCTCGACATATCCGCGGCTAGAGTAGATTTAATCTCGCAGCAAATACGTAGAATTTAGTCATGATGACTTTGTGAACATGTCAAACTTGCAGAAATCACCTTTGGGCAGTGACGCAGTGTTATATACCGACTTATTCTTTAGACGAGCAGTCACATCCAAGCTAGTAGTCTAAAAATTTAACTATCTTATGTTGCCATTTTACAGTTTGGAAATGTGCATATCGGAACAAGCAAGAAATTTCTATTTGATAAGTTTCTCAGTGTTTCATTATTTATGTTGCATTTTCATTATTTTTATTGCATTTTGCGTGGAGACATTTTTTCAATTTTGTCCTAATTTGAATATGGAATTGAATAAGAAAATTTGCCTGTCAGTGAAAGTAATCAGACGGTATTTTTCCAAATCCTACTCATTTTTTCATTAACATGCATTCTAAATTATGGAAGCATTTTTGCCGAATTCACCTTCAATTTGCCATCACAGAACATGAAGTCTAATGTAGAGCTGTATTTTAAACTTGTTACATTAAAGAGTGCAACTTAAACAAATTCATAACAGGTTTTGTAAAAATAACATTTTCATGTATCAACTTTATTGAAAGTGAATATAAACTTCAGTAAGATGGTGCGTTCGACGAAAATTCGCAAATGTTTTGAGGTTAATCGGCAAACGTCATTAGCTGTACGATAATAAAAGCCTGTCATTCGCCTTCATCTTCTGAAAACGAATTTATTGTAAAAATACAGGAATTGCTTTATTTTATCGTCCTTACCACTCAGCACTAAAATACTTTGACTATTGGATATTGGCTTCAAAAGTTTTAATTTATTATTGTTTGGTAATAATATGAGTTTGAAAGGTTATTATGCTGAGAAAACTCATCGCAAGCAGATGATGGAGATCCATCTGTTTGAAAGTCTTCTAAGCATTTAATAAATTTTTTTTAAAGGTTGTGAATTCAATAAATTGGTCGTGACTTCTGGCCGTAGGAGAAATGTAGGGACCATAGTTGCAGTTTAGGTTCCTGGTTCCATAGTTGAAGAAAGAGGATAAATAACGCGTTAATTGAAAAATAAAATGTCGCAAGGCAACATTCTCATTCTTTTTAATGTGTATGTGGTTTGTAGAGCTGAAGAAAAGTGATTTTGAATTTCCAATTGGCGTGCGCCGTGAATGTTCTAGTCAGTTTAATTTTTTTGTTTTGATTGGCATCGTTGTACTCTACTGCGTATGTAGCAAGTGGCTTATAACATACGATATATTCATTTGTTAAGGATAAGGTCACAGATTGGTGCATATACTAAGCAGCAATTTAATAATGATAGCTGAAATCGTCAGTTAAGCGATGACGGCGATTCCATAGTAACGTTATAGTGATTTGGACGGAGGACTAGTCTGCAGGTTGTGTAGTGATAAAAACATGAATTGGTGATATCATATATGTTGTTGTGCCTATAACATCCATGCAGTCCACGTGTTTCATTGCGTTCATATCTGGAGCATCTGTGACTCGCTAGCCGTGTTTACTCTCAGAAGACTAGAATATTGAGAGAAAACTTCGGTTCGATGTACATGATGCGTAGAGTAGCATATTATTAAAGTGCTGTGTTTTTCTTGAATGTTGTGCGGATGTTCTAATGTAACTAATGTTCCGTCTTCCTGTTGAGTGTTTTTCCCTAAGAGTGATTTTATTAAGCATAAATAAGAATTGAAATTACTAATTGACGAATGAGAAATTCCGAATTTGATGAATTGTAGAATTTTCCGTACTGTGAATTATTTTAATAATCAAGCAAATTCATGAAATTCATTCATCGGCCTAAGTCTAATATTATTTCTATCTTAAATCGAATAATCTACCAATTATGATGTCATGCGATTTTGACAATGCGGCCTTAACAATCTTGGACTACAAATGTTTACTTTGCTTCCTAAAGCGTTTTTTTTGCAATAAAAGTCAATGCCATTGAACAGATTTAATGTCAATGCGATGGAACAGATCGTTTCGGATTGAATCTACAATACAATGTAGAAATTTTTACGTGTCTAATTATAATTTGGAGGGTATATCATTTGCTTGCTGAATATGAGTTGAGTTTCGACCCTCTTACGTACAATTGGTGAAATCTCTGTATTTTTGTAAGATGTTATACAAGACAGATAAGACAATTTGCCTGTCAGTGGAAGTACCACATTAGAGAGCTTGTCATGATAGATTCTTCTGATAAGTCTTGTTAAATGGTGTGTCCATGTTCGACGTGTTTAGATGTTTAATCCGAATTTTAAATGAGTTTGAAACAAATTTGTGATGACTTATCTCGAGAAAAATGCATCTTAATTTGTTCATGCCAATTCAAGGAAATTCAGGGACTTTAGTTAATATAGCATCGAGAAGATTTTTCTTGTTATGACACTTTTGACAAGACTTATTTTTCGTTATCTTAATATGAGGTAACATTGGATCGTTTTTAATGGTTTCATATAGCAAGTTCGTTTTCTCAGATATTGTATTGCACCAAGATTAGTGCCTTAGTTCGAAGAAGAACGCCTTTTCGTCTCCCTTGAGCTCGGAATTTAAAGACGCATCTGAAAACAATAATTTTGAAACTATATCCGAGTACTGCTCCAAACTTTTACATTTCCAGATTGTCAGTCAATTCAACCGAATAGACACTTCTCTGATCTCGCATGCGGACTCAAACGCCAAACCTATCTTTTTGCCCAAGAGAACCACTCATAACTCCTTCAATACTGAACGGATTTGCTTGAAATTTGGAACATAGGTATTATCAATGCCCTGCGATTGGAACAATTATAATTGCCATGCTTTTCCCGCTTTAATATCTGTCATGTGCTATAGTTAAATTGTCCGCTTCTTCTTGTGTTTCCTGTGATTTTTTTCAGTAAATGTTCTCTGTCCAGCTCGAACCGAATTTGAGTTTATCTCACCATCATTATTTCCTAGTAGAATTGAGTTGATTACTTATTAAGTAAACCCTATGGGAGCAAATTTGAGATCCGTAAGCGTATCTTTGGATATTCTAGGATAATGACTGTGCAGTGAGCATGCTAGACAATTTAACTGTTGTCTTATTTTGTAAATTATTTCGTTTTATGCTGGGAAGGAGAGTGAAGAATTGGCGACAGGAGCCGCTGCCTGAAGATTGCTTTGCTTCTCGCGTGAGGTGTGGGACTGAAAAGCTTCTCGTTTCCTTTGTGGCATAACTCTATAGCACTTGCCATATATAAAACACAAGCTTTATTCGAATTATTCACGTTATTCATACAATGACGGCTAGATCCTGTAAATGTTTCTTAAGTAAGTATATAATCTTTCAAATCTGTATTAATGATTGTAAGTTTATGTTTATCTTCGGTGAATATAATTAAACAGAAATCCTGAATTGTAATTTGTTAACTTATCTTTGAGTGTCTGGTCCTGGTCGTAACACATGTTTAGCTTATCTGTGATGCATGATATATAATCATGTTGCTGATCACGATTTATGCACGAGGAAAGTTTTTGTTGCATTAATCCTGTATAACATGGCCTTGATTGCAGGCATTTTGTGTCAATCAATTCAAATTTCCTAAATTTTTACTTTATATTCACTGTTCGTTTCAGAAGCAAAACTTTCTAACTCCTGCTTGACACTAATTTCAGAAGTTTTTGATTCATTTTCTGAGTTTGAAACAGAAGAAATAGAAATTTTGCCGATACCATTCCTCTGAAGCCAGTGACTCGAAAATTTTTAAAATCGCCACACATTTCGTCATATAATCAAGACTTGCAAAATAATGACCTCCTAAGTCATGTGTGTCGATAATATTAAACCAACGCTTGTTGGTTTCTTGTCGCATTGAAAATCTCTTATATGAAGTGAACCAGCTTCTTTGGGAGCATTTTCAACAACTTTTACATTCTATATTATACAATACAGGGCAGTGCAAGATTTTTGAAATGTGTGAGTTCGCTAACCTTGAAGATTCACAAGGTATTAGTGTCCACCTTATGCACCAGACACATTTTAATTTGAAGACTTTTTGTTTGTGAAGTAGCAAGGCTATTTATGTTACTAAATTGCAGAAAATTGCGTGAACGACAGTTTTTGATCAAGGGTTTTCTCTGTTATTCATGAGTATAATAACTATCAATCAAAAGGGAACAGTTCTATATTCATCTTATTTATTGCCTGTTTGTTACTGCACCTGATGAATATATATGATTATT